CTCGAATTACGCCATTCTTTGCTCCCTAAAAAGTGTAGTATAATTTCTCCTCATCTCTAATGTTATTGGTTAATAAATAATCTGTTTCCTCATATGAATACATTCAGAATTCAATGAGGGAACAGCCAGGGCAACACGAGTTATGCTTTTTTCGTTCCCTGGTCACCAGCCTGGGACCAAAGTGTAGTACAGTGGGTCCTCGACTTACGTCGGAGAACCTTTCCTACGGCTCGACGTAATCTAATTTTCGACGTATGTCGAAAATCACCTGCGTAAGCACCCACGAGTCTGCCTTAAGCTTGGGAGTCATAACGAAGAGTGAAAGGTTCCCCCCACCCCGAAAAAAAACGACACAAACGAGAGATAGCGAATGTAACACAATCCCATATGGTGTACACCCGGTGAAGAAACAACTCCCTCTTCCTCATATATAGCCGCGTGACGACGTATTATATTATAGGAGATGGAGCCGTAACCACAAACGCCGTATGTCGAGTCCGACGTAACCCGAGGTCCTTCAGTATCTGTTTTCTTCATCTCTAATGGTAATGGTAACATTAACAGTTTTCTTATAACGAATCATTCGGCATGATCGAGCAGCCAGCGCAACTCGATTTACGCTTTCCATCGCTCAGTAGTGATCAGCTTTGGATCAAAATGTAGTATTTCTTTTCCTGAAATATAATGCCAATATAATATGTTCCCTCATGAGAATAAATTCAGCATTTACTGACCGAATCAGCAGTGCAACTCGAATTACGCATTTCTTCGCTCCCTGGCTATCATTCTGGGATCAAAGTATAGAATTCCAACTGGAATTGGGTAAGTGGTGAGTGATAAGCAATCAACATATGATCATATGATCATAAATGATCCTAAGCAGTTGACTTTAACAAAGGACTAGGAAAGGTCGTTTACCTGCTTGCACTTCCCTTAATCCTAATCCTTAATTTATTTGGTCTGATGATCCGGTTGAGACGTGAAACTGACAGTCACCATGTAGTGTCGGTTCCTGTGTCCACACTATCTACGTTTATAGTGATACTACTTCGATACTGCACATTTCCCTATAAAATATAATAAATTTAAAACTATATATATATATATATATATATATATATATATATATATATATCATAAGTAATTATATATATAATATATATCATAAGTAACTATATATATATATATATATATATATATCATAAGTAACTATATATATATATATATCATAAGTAACTATATATATATATATATATATATATATATATATATATATATATATATATATCATAAGTAATTCAACGAGCCTAGAAGAATCCTCAACAGAATGCTGAAAGCACTGGACGGGCGTTTCGTCCTATATTTGGGAATCATCAGTAGTATGCATCCACTAGCGAGAATCGAACCAGACCGTTACACTGGATCAACGGGTCTCGTTGACGGTGAGGTAACAAACCAAATCCGATATGGCCCCAGCTCTTCACAAATTCCGTCGTGTGACTCATCCTTGTCGACTTATACCAACGGACTGTGCCCCTATGAGTCACGACTTCTATCCCCAAGCATAAGAAGCCGGTTCCATATATATATATATATATATATATATATATATATATATATATATATTAAAGGTAATAAATGTGTTGGTATATAATCCAAGTGGATCCTAGTAATATAAAATATTAAAATTGATCCACAAAAAGAGCTCAATATATTTATTATTACGGAGCAATACAATTATGAAACAATAAAATCCAAAATTACGTCATATCAGGAATAAATTGTTTTGAAAGGCAAAAATATAATCTGTCTATCTTATCAACCCAGGTATAGACTGAGTTCCTGTCGGAAATAGAAATTTAACTGTGAAATCTACAAATAAACGTCGAAAATCTAAAGTCAGTTTGAATTGGCATGTCCCAGAGGATAGTTACATCGTTATTTTATGTAACTGTCTCTGGCTGGTGGTCATACCATCTGTCAGTTGTTTCGATTTTGTGTTTCTTGCATATCTTTCAATGCAAATATGTCGCTACCTTGTTATGTCTGTGGGTATATTCATTTTTTGCTAGTTCCGGGCATTCTGAGATAATATAGTCGACGGCTTCATCATATTTTCTGGAGTTCCTGCATTTTAGGTTAGTTCCATCTTTGATTATGTGACAGTGATAGGATCTGGTTGCAAACTGACTGGGAAATAAAATCCAATGGATCTGATATTATCACAAAAGACGAGATATTCAGGAAGAGAAATACCTCCATAAAAATTATCGAGAAAATAATCCAAATGCAAAGACCTAGAGATCGAGATTAACAGGATATGGGGGAATAAAGATTGAGACTGTACCAATAGTAATCGGAGCTCTGGGCCTCCTGAGAAAAGGAATGGACATTTTACTAACAGCGTCACAGATAACATCAACATACAAGTAGCCCAGAAGATCGCCCTACTAGGAACATCCCATATAGTAAGAAAAGTGTTATCAATTAAATAATTCTCCTATAGGGCCTAATGGCCATAGTTTGGACAGGAAACATAACATGCACAAATGGTATATATATATATATATATATATATATATATATATATATATATATATATATATATATATATATATATATACAATGTCATAAGGTTAATATCCGGGTTTAATTTTATAAAACCACTTCCTGAGATGCAATAATTAGGCCTTTTTTGTCATTTCATTTGGCTTAGTTGTTTTGATTTCTGTTTTACTCGTTTGGCGTAGATGGTATTTGCTTCGTTTTTTCTGGTAGGCTTTCACGTATATTAATCTGTTTCTTGAAGAGTGAAGCTTCTATGTTGATGGGGTGGATTTGGTGTTTTACTATTTATAAGTAATTGTTTTCTTTTCTTTTCTTTTTTTTTGGTGATGTGTGCTTCCAGTCTGATTGTTGTAGATTTTATAGTTCAAATTGTATTAGACCTCGGGTACCTAAAGCTCTTGGTACATACAGCCTATCAACATCTGATTTCGGGTGATGCATCCTCACTTGGGTAAGCATTTTTCTGGTCTTGGCGTCCAATCTTTTAATGTCATTCAACTTCTATTTAATAATGTTGAAGCTGTATATTACGGGTATAGCTAAGGTGTTGCTTTCTCTCAGGTTGTACTTTCATGTCAATAGGCATACACTTCCTGAATTTCTTGTCTTTTATGATAATATCAGGTCTGTTGGCTTTTATTTCCCTGTCAGTTTGAATTGGCATGTCCCACAGGATAGTTACATCGTTATTTTGATTAACTGTGTCTGGTTGGTGCCCATACCATCTCTTAGTGGTTTCGATTTTGTGCTTCTTACATATCTTCCGGTTCACATATGTGGCTATTTATTATGTATGTGGGTATATTAATTTATTTTTATAGTTCCGATCATCCTGAGACAATATAGTCAACAGTTTCATAATATTTTCCGCAGATCCTGCATTTCAGTTTAGTTCCATCTTTGATTATGTGACAGTGATAGGATCTGGTTGCGAGGCTTTGGCCCTGAACTGCACTAATTAGGCCTTCTCTGTTAGCTTTCAACCCTGTGCTTCTCAGTCTCGTGTGCTTTCTGTTGGTCTATATCTGCTTCTTTCCTTCTTTTTAGGTATTTGCTATACAACGCCTTGTCCTCACAGTTTATTGTCATTTCATTTGGCTAAGTTGTTTTGATTTTTCTTTTACTCGTTTGGCGTAGATGGTATTTGCTTCGTTTTTTTTTTTTTTTTGTTGGCAGGTTTTCATGTATATTAATCTGTTTCTTGAAGAGTGCAGGTTTTTTGTTGATGGAGTGGATTTGGTGTTTTACTATTTGTAGGAGAGGGTCATTGTTGTAGTTTTTAGACTTAGTTCAAGTCATTATTATTATTATTATTATTATTATTAAGAGACTTTTACTACATATGCCGGAGTGTCTAATTTTACAGATTTTTTAAAGAGATTTTAATACATACTTTTACACTTTTATTTATTTACCCATCCAGTTTCTTCAACAAATCTCTACCCTATCGGCAACACCAAATTCAACACCCACGGGATTAACCCTATGCCAACCCTTGACTCTGAATCTTTCTCACATTCCATCTCTCTCTCTTCTCTCTCTCTCTCTCTCTCTCTCTCTCTCTCTCTCTCTCTCTCTCTCTCTCACCATACAGCGGACAGATAATTTGCGAATGTTTCAGAGGCGACTGCTATAAGCTTCGAGCCTTTGGCGTATTTATTTTGGTCTCTCCGGGGATATATCTTTTTGTTGACAAATCTTTCAAAAGGAACGTGTCGGCGTGCCGAGAATTCAAATAATTTAATTCTTCTTGTTCGTTAAACCATTCACGTTTTTGAATTTTATCATTTTCAATTCCAACTCCATATACAGATTGAAATTTCTTCCTCGTTTTTTTTGTATCTTTTGTACTAATATATATATATATATAAATATATATATATAGTTGTGTGTATGTGTGTGTGTTTATGTGTGTGTGTATTAATGTATGTACATTTGTATGCATGCGTGCATCCGTGTGTGTGTGTTCAAAAAATTTTTGTTAAAGTCTACATACAATACGATACATTTCTTGTTCACAGAATAGTTTCCGTCTCTTCGTGTGGAAGGTGTAAAGGAAGTTGTTCATCTATTAATGATTCTTAGGGCTCCGAGCTATTGTCTAGCTTCAGTTATAGCCAAGCAAAGAAAGAAAGAAAGAAAGAAAGAAAGAAAGAAAGAAAGAAAGAACTACTGAAGGAGAGAAAAAAATCAAGGAAAAGAGAAGCAAAAAAAGAAGGAACGAAGAAAGAAAGAAAGAAAGAAAGAAAGAAAGGAAGAAAGAAAGAAAGAAAGAAAGAAAGAAAGAAAAATCAAATAAAAAAGAAGCAACAAAGAAAGAAAGAAAAATCATGGAAAGAAGGAACGAAGAAAGAAAGAAAGAAAGAAAGAAAAATCAAATAAAAAAGAAGCAACAAAGAAAGAAAGAAAGAAAGAAAAGAAAGAAAGAAAAATCATGGAAAAAAAGAAAGAAAGAAAGAAAGAAAGAAAGAAAGAAAGAAAGAAACAAACAAACAAACAAACAAACAAACAAACAAACAAACAAAAATCATGGAAAAAAGAAAAAAAAAGAAGGAACGAAGAAAGAAAGAAAGAAAGAAAGAAAGAAAGAAAGAAAGAAAGAAAGAACTACTGAAGGAGAGAAAAAAATCAAAGAAAAAAGAAAAGAAAAAAGAAAGAAAGAAAGAAAGAAAAGAAAGAAAAGAAAGAAAGAAAGAAAAAAAGAAAGAAAAATCAAAAAAAAGAAGCAACAAAGAAAGAAAGAAAGAAAGAAAGAAAGAAAGAAAGAAAGAAAGAAAAATCATGGAAAAAAGAAAAAAAGAAGGAACGAAGAAAGAAAGAAAGAAAGAAAGAATAGAACGAACTATTGAAGGACAGAAAGAAGAACTATTGAAGGAAAAAAGAAGCAAAAAAGAAGGAACGAAGAAAAGAAAGAAAATAGATGAAAGAAAAAGAAAAATAATGAAAAAATAAGAAAGAAAGAAAGAAAGAAAGAATAAGGGAAGAAAGAAACAAGAACAGAAAGCACTACTGAAGAACAGAATATAAATAAAGGAAAGAAAAAAAGAAACAAACATCGAAAGAACGTAGAATAGAAAGAGAGAAAGAAAGAAGGTTTTTTTTTTAAAAAGCATTAAAGATTATGAGAACAAACCTAGATATTTTAAACAATCTATTATAAACATTTTCAAACACCTCCCTACCAAGTGATGTGATTTTCTAAGCTTAGATTAGATGCGACACAAGGATGAAAATATGTGGAATCCAGTGAGGATCGAACTCACTACTCAGTCGCAATTTTAGCTTGCTAACCATTACACCACGGTGAGGTGCACAAAAGTTATCAGTGTATATGTTGTAGGCTTTTGAATTCAATGACAAATGATTTCGACATGTGTTTATCACAGCGGATTCATGACACTTTTTGATAATTTTGACAATATTTAACACATATCTGACATCCGCGATATGTATAGCGAATCGACAACCGTCACCAGTCCAACCACCAGTGTGAGCCACAGAGTAGTTAGTGACAAATGTTACAGTATCTATGTTGAGTGTCTTGTTTCGAAATTATAGGTGATGACCGTTAACCACGAATATCAAAACTCCCAATGGCTGCTTCATATGTCAGTCGAAATTAAACCCTTTCTTTTCTGTTAAATATTTTTGTTTTGCTTTCTGTTTTGTTTTTTTAAATTTGCAAATAAAATTAACAAAATTTGTCTCTTGTGACCATGAAAGACAATTTTCTCGATTTAATAACAATAATCGTGATATTATGATGAAGGTTTTATGGACATTGTTTTAAATCAATGATTTTCATTAATTTCACACCAGGCAATCCGCCAACTAAAAGAAAAATTAAGTAACAGTTGTTATATTTCCAGTGTGAAAGGTGGATGAAAATATAAAAATTATTGTTACAGAATGCAAACGTCAGGGCCAGAATAGTCAGCGATTGGCCGGAGTGCCTCGTAGACTGGGCATTCTGGCACTGATAGATTGCCTTTGTCTAGGTTTTGAATATAAATCCAAAACGGCGCGAATTCAACAGCCGTGTTGGGCTGAAATGTATGAATACTTTCCCTAGAGTATTTCCGCTTGTATTATTTACATTAGTCGGACTGTTATCCTCGCCTTCATTGCTTTATTCATAACGTTTCGGTCGTTTTATGCTCCGGCCTTCTATAGGTGACTGGAATTTTCGAAACGTAACTCAAAAGGATTTCTGTTAAAATCGATCACCCATCTAGGTACTGACCAGGCTCGACGTTGCTTAACTTAGGTGATCATACGGAAACCAGTGATTCAATATGAAGTGGCCGTAAACCTACTCGGAGTAAAGGATTTCTGTTAAAAGCAGTCACCCATCTGGGTACTGACCAGGCTCGACGTTGCTTAACTTAGGTGATCATACGGGAACCAGTGATTCAATATGCAGTGGGCATAAACCTACTCAGAGTAAAGGATTTCTGTTAAAACCGATCACCCGTCTAGGTACTGACCAGGCTCGACGTTGCTTAACTTAAGTGATCATACCGTGACCGGTGTTTGAATGTGGTGTGGCCGTAAACCTACCCAGAGTAAAGGATTTCTGTTAAAAGCGGTCTCCCATCTAGGTACTAACAAGGCTCGACGTTGCTTAACTTAGGTGATCATACGGGAACCAATGTTTCAATATAGGAATGGCCGTAAACCTGCCGAAAGTAAATGATTTCTGTTAAAACCGATCACCCATCTAGGCTCTTTGTTTAACGTGTGATCGTACATGTACCGATGTTTCTACTTGAGATAGCCGTAAGCCGAATAAAAAAAAACTAATTTACAATCACGCAAAAAATTCTTTAAAACATCTTAGAAAGATTTGTTTAATTATCTAAGCTCTCTTTTAAATAAATTCCACCAAAACAAGTTAAAGCTCCGTACTGTTTTTTGGGGGATTTTTTTAATATAATTTCTTGATGGTGGGAATTATGGGGCTTGTTAGTGCTATTAATTGTTCCGGTATCAGATTCAATTAAACCGGGTTATTAGTCTTGCAATGTACTTCGTGGCCTTCCCTGTTTAAGGTCCTATGCAAACCTATTAGACAAGCACTAAATTAATAAATTGAATTCGGGGAAAATGAAAAAAGAAAATCGCTTGTCATAACTGCGCAAATAAACAAAACAAAAAAAGATTTAAATTTTCCGAGTTAATTATTGCCCGTCGAATCTTCCAATATTCAAATACACCAAAAACTATCTAAGAAGCTTTGATGTTTAAACCATCAGGGTATATCATGAATCTTCGCCTTCTTCTTCTGTGTGCCGTGTGTCTTAAGCGATCATGGCTCTCCACAATATCCCCGTTCTTTGTAGCTCTTAATGAATTTTGTCTTTTTGTTATCGCTCATAAGCCCTGTTCTACCATCGACAACTCCAACTCGCTAGGTAGCTTATGCGTTGCTTTCTTCTGTCTCCCTTTCTTTCCTTCTGTCCTGTGAGTATCAAATTTTCCAAGCCCTCTTTCCTCATTATGTGTCATAGAAATTTCCACTGTCTTTTTTATGTCAAATATAAGTGTCCTTTTTTTGTTTATATTTTCTCTAAAACTTCGTCGTTTTTCACGTGTCCGCTCCATGGTATCCTCATCATCCTTCTGTATAACCACATTTCTGTTGCCTCAAGTCACTTCTTGTCCAACAGTTACTAACATATAGGAGGACCGATCTCTATCTATAAAAAAAACAGGATGTGTGTGTGTGTGTGTGTGTGTGTGTGTGTGTGTGTGTGTGTGTGTGTGTGTGTGTGTGTGTGTGTAGCAAATGCGCAGCCGCAATTTTCGACGGATTTGCACCAAAATTTACATGCACATGCTCCAAGTTAGCGGGAAGGCCAAAACCGTCTTTACATTTCCTAACTCCCATCGATAATGGAAATAATCGATTTTTTCATGCTTCTACCGCAGTTTTCATGTAGTTTGCGGCCATTTTATACTGGCCAGAGTGAGAGCCAATAGCTGGCTGCCACGAATGTTAACTAGCATGCTAGCACGCAAAAAAAAATCGATAGCTGCATTTGTCACAGGTGGGAAAAATTTAAATCTGCATGGCACTTTAATCCAATTGGCTCATTCGCTTGCTTAAACTCAACGTTGATTCTGATTTCGCAGAACTGGGTTGGGTGTGAAAAAGTATTTCTTGTTAACATTCTTTTTTTCATTCGGTTTTCCAGTTACGAGTCCTTTTTTAAAGCTGATCGTTTTGTGTTCATTTTGTTTAGTTCTTTTTTTGTAACAGATTTAATGTTTAGTATAGAGCTTAGAAAAAATTTGCAGTGCGAGATAGGCAAGAAGTAAAGCATGTAGTAACATTAGCACGGCAAAGGCACTCCTTTAAAGGCAAGGAAGAGCAAAAATATTTTAAGTCAAGTGATAGCGATTGCTGTATGAGTCGTACGATTTTTGAATCAAGCACGGGCAACGCCGGGCCATGCTGCTAGTATGACATAAATGTTAAGCGCATTTTTCTTTGTTTCTAACAAAGTTTTCCTTTTTCTTAATACTTTGCTTAGCTTTGGGAATTTATCTTTCGCTATCCCAATGTGCCTTTGTATTTCAATGTCGCATTTTCCACCCTGCCCTTTTGACTTATTGTTATTTCTCCTGAGCCCAGTTCTGCCATCCATTTACTCAAGCTCACTAAGTATGTTATGCGTTGTTTTCCTTTGTCCGTCCTGCCCTCAATTTATCCTGTGTGTATCAAATTTTCCAAGCCCACTTTCCTCATTATGGTACTTTTGTACTTTTCCTTTTTGTTTCCATTTTCTCTAAAACCTCGTCGGTAGATCCAAGGTATCCTCATAATCCTTCTGTATAACCACATTTCTGTCTTTTCTTGTCCAGTATTCACTGACATATGGTAGGACCGATATGACATAACAGTTAAGCACTCTTTTTTTCTAATGAGATTTTTCTTTTTTTTAATACTTTGCTTAGCTTTTGAAAGGTATATTTCTCTATGACAATGCTCCCTCGTGTTTCAGTGTCGCTCTTCCCAGATATATGAATTGCTGTGCTTATTTGATTTTAATATTTCCATTTTGTACTTTGCATGTTGTTCTGTTCCTTTAGCTGACAGCCATGTATTCTCTCTTCTTGAAATTGATGGTTAGTCCTTTCTTCTGCTTTTCCTTCACTATATTCTGTAGAAGTTCTTTGTCGCTCTTAATAAAATTCGTCTTTTTGTTATCTCTCCTAAGCCCTGCTCTACTATCGACAACTCAAACTCGCTAGGTAGGTTATGCATTGTTTTCCTGTGTCCCTCTTGCCTTCAATCACCTCTGTGAGTAAAAAATATTTTCAAACCCACTTTCCTCATTATCTGCCCCATAAATTTCAACTGTCTCTTCCTGGTGCTATTTATGCGTCCATTTTGCTTCGATTTTCTTTAAAACTTTGTCGTTGCTCACATGTTCGATCCATGGTATTCTCAGAACAAAATTTCTGCTGCTTTATCTGTGAGGAGATTGCCCAGCATTCACTACTGTATATGAAGACTGATATTATATAACACTTCAGTACTCTTTTCTTTGTTCCTAACAAAGTTTTTCATGTTTCTTAATACGTTGCTTAGCTTTTAGAAGGCATTTTTCGCTATTCCAGTTCTCCTTCGGAATTTAGGATCGCAATTTCCGTATCACACTTTCCGTCCTTTGTTAAAACACTTCCCAAATTTTTAAATGCCGTTTTCTATTTTCCGTGTCCTTTGAGGACTTTTAACGATCATGGCTCTCCACAATTTCCTTTGTGTCTCTTAATAAATTTTGTCTTTTTGTTATGACTCTTTTAAGGCTTGTTCTACCATCTGTTTCCTCGAACTAGGTATGTTATACGTTGCTTTCTTCTCCCTCTTGCCTTTAATCCGTCCTGTGAGTATCAAATTTTCCAAGTCTCCTTTCCTCATTATGTGACCTAGAAATGTTTCAACTCTCTCTTCCTGATGTTAAGTATACGTGTCTTATTCGTGTCGAATTTTCGTCCTCAGATACTTAAATTGTACTTATTTGATTTTGGTATATCCAATTTATAATTTGCATGTTAAGTTGCCCCTTTTGCTAACACTCACTTAGTCCTTTATTCTCGCTTTCCATCACCACATTCTCGAGAAGATCTTGTATTGTCACTACGAAAAGATTTATACATTTCTAGATTGCATAATCATTGAAAAATATATTAAAACATACACATGTGAAAATTTGATAAACACAAGGCATAATTAAATATGTCGTTATTTATAGAACCCTGTGTCATCGAATATTGTTATGAAATATCAATGGTCAGAAAGTGGGTGATAAGTTTTCTATAGCTCTTCAGAAATAAAATCATCCCTATAAATTTCTAGATAACATAACCATTGCAAAATATATTCAAAGATACGTATGTGAAAAACCTGATAATAGTGATTTTCTAAGCCCGGCTTAGATGTGGCACAAAGCACCCAGTGAGAATCGAACTCACTATTCAGTCGTAATTGATTTATCAAGACAAGCTTACTAACCATTACTCCACCTCGAGGTGCCAAAAAAAAACCCAAAAAAACTGATAATAATAAAGACTGTATAAAATATGTCGCTATTTATAGCGTCATATGTAATCTCATATTAATATATGATTCTAATGATCAGAAAATGGAGAATGAGTTTATAATTTTCTGCAAGTAAATTACGAATCTCTAGATAACATAATCATTGCAAAATATATTAAAAAATACACACGTAAAAAGTTGATAATAATGAACGCTGTATAAAAAATGCTGTTATTTTTAATGCTATGTATAATCTCACATTAATATAATATTCTAATGATCATAAATTGGGGGATCAGTTTTCAGTGGTTCTTCAGTAATAAAATGTTACCTATAAATTTAAAGATGGCATAAGAATTGGAAAATATATTTAAAGATTAACAAGTGAAGACCTAATATTAGTCAAGTCTGTATAAAAGCAAATTGTGTCTTTAATTTTAAGCTTCATGTAAAATCTCATATAAATATAAAATTGTAATGTTCATAATGTGGGGGATCAGTTTTCAGGGGTACATCAGGACTAAACAGATGCCACTAAATCTCTAGATAACTTAATTTGAAAATGTATTTAAGTCTCACATAGATTTATTTTCCTTTTTTTTTAAGTATTTTTAATAGAAGTAAATACGCTCTGCTATCGCCCGGTTCATTTCCCTCCCACTTCAAGAGAAGTGGGAGGAATATTACCGGGCGATTCTAGAGGCTCATCTCTTGTTTCCTGTTTAGGAAGTGGTTCTCGGTGTCTTTCCTTTTCTCAAGCCTTAATAGTGGTGTTATAATGAATTTATTGTGATCTGCGTGGTTGGGAGCAACGTCTCCTAATACTGAGGGTACTGTGTTGGTAGTTTTTTGGCTTTTGTTCTCGACTCGCAGTTAGGAGCCCGAACTCTTGCGTAGCGTCTTGAGAGGTTGCCTAATATCGTGGTTCTTGCAGTGCCATGTCGCGCATGGACGAATGTCCCTGGAAGCACCTCCGGTGAACAACCAGGGGGATACACTGTGTTACAAATTTCGCCTGTTCCCTTCTGCACATGTTACATTTGATGGCCGACTGCTTCTGCTAACCTAGACCCTTTCCTTACCAATATAACACATCATGACTATAAACATCCAAAGATATAAAACTAAACCAGCTCAACAAAAATAACCTAAACCCCTTAACTTTTCCTTCTCCAACATTCGTGGAATTCGTAACAACTTCTACAATGTGGAATCGTTCCTCTTCGAAATGTCTGCGGATATCCTAGCTCTCTGCGAGACTAACCTGAACTCTTGAATCCCTTCCGCTGATTTTTCGATTCCTGGCAACCTTCCTCTTCTTAGAAAGAACTCTGAAGTCCTCGTGCATGACCTGGGATTTTATGTCCGCGAACAACTCCCGCTGGTTAGGAAACTCTTTCTTGAATCTCCAGATCATTTTTACATGTGTCTCCATCTCTCTCTACTTAACTCAGTCAGCTATCTCTTCTTTCTCTACCATCCCCTTTCCTCTCAAGACTGTTGCGCGCTTGATAGTATTTGCAATAATATAGACAAGGGGATCTCTCTACACCCTTTTGCAAATATATTTGTGTTCGGTTACTATAATGCCCACAATTCTAGATGGTTCAAACACTCACTGACATCCAAACCCTTAACTTTTCAGTCACTCAATTTCTCACGCAAGTAGCTGACTTCCCTACGCGTTTCCCCAGTAACCCTGATAGAAAGGCTTTTCTTCTCGATCTCTTTTTTACCTCTATCCCTGACTCTTGTCACGCTACGCAGCTCTGCCGTCTTGGCAACTCTGATCACTCGATAATGGCTGTAAACCTCTCCTTCTGTCTCATCTTTTATCCTTTCCTCATTCCCCTCTACACACAAACTTTTCCGTCACTTTCATCCTCTGTAACTCCCTGCGTACTCGTGGCACTCCCGCCTTGCTTGGGGTAAATGCTTAAAAAATATGAAACTTAATAATGCTAATAAAGTCTTAACAAAATTTATAATCATTGTTTATGTCTTGTGCAAACCCGTATTATCATAATATTCTACTGGCTATATTATGGGGGAATTGTTTTCTAGTGAGGCAACAGAGCCTAACTTGTCGCGTGTTCCTTCAAGACGTTGCCAATCTTGGCTCTCCCAATTTCCTATCCTTTGGAGTTCTTAATAAATTTTGTCTTATTGCAGTTTCTCCGAAACCCGTCTCCGCCATCCAAAAGAAGGTAAGTTATGTATTGTCTTTCCCTGGCCTCCAATCTGTCCTATGCGTATCAAATTTTCCAAGCCCTCTTTCCCTTATTATATGCCCAAGAAATTGTCTCGTCTCTTCTTGCTATGTTTAAGTGTCCTTTTTGTTTCTGTTTCGCCGTTGCTCGTATTTTCGGTACTATTCTCAGCATCCTTCTGTAGAACCACGTTTTTGGTGTTTCAGAACTCTACTTCATCTGAAAAGACAAATGTTACTAAAATCTACAAATGATGGGAAACTGTGGAGGGCTATGATCGTTCACGTTCTGAAGAGACATGGCACAAAGAAGGAGGGAGCCGAGGAAAAAGAAGAAGCAGGGAGAGGAGAAGAGGGGGAGGAGGAGGATTTGGAGAAGAAGAAGAAGAAGAAGAAGAAGAAGAAGAAGAAGAAGGGACTATGCAGTAATATTAAGATCTAGTTTCCCTTCCAATGTGTCTTTTCCGTGCATCGAATACATGTACAAAAAGTACATATCAATCAAAAGCGGAAGCTTAAAAAATGAATATAAGATTTAAATATGCGTCTAGACAAAAGTACCAGATAATTAGTAAGAGTGAAAATAGAAAATATGTGTACTTAGTTTTTAGATAATTTAATCCTCGGAGCCCAATTAGTTTGAGGCTGAACACATGATGCGAACTGGATATTAAATAATGTACATCACAAAGAAAAGAACGGTTAGCAGACAGATTTAAATATTTTTCTTAAATATATAAATAAAGACGTCACAAAGATTCCAATAGACTCGCCATAAGTTTGTTAAAGATTATTTAATATATAATTATATAGTTAATATATATATATATATTTATATATATATATATATATATATAAAGATTATTTAATATGTAAATAAACACGTTGCCAAGATTCAAGCAAACACGACATATTTCAAATGCCCCCCTCCTTCTTCGCACGTTTACTGTAAAGCTGGTGTTAATAAGAGGTTCTTCTGGAATTTTTCCATTTTCATGCTTCAGTAATCCTTCTCAAACAATCTTTGCATCAAAGGATGTTCGAATGCTAATTTAGGATGGAATCATATGAAGAAACTACTGGCTAAATGGCAAAAGTCGTTTTTGGACCTAGTTTATCGCAGATTTCATCCACTTAACTGAAATAATCTACACCAAACATTTACTCAGGGCAATTTGTGTGTCATATGTAATTTACATGGAACATTTGTAAAGCAGCGAATGAAAAACATGGAGTTATGGCCGAAAAACGGGCTTTTTTTAAAACTTTTATGTGGTTTTTCGTTATACGCGGGAAAGCGAGCAGGACTAAAAACACACTATCTTATTTTTTGCATGATGGCAAATTTTTTTGTTTGCGATATGTCTGAAGAAAATTGGATAAAAATGAGAAAGTTCAAGTTTTTATTTTTAATAGTACGAAAATCCCGATTTTTTCAGTTTTTTATGCGAAGCCAATTTTGCAGGAAAACTATCAAGCACTCTGCATAAACCTCGTAATATTTTGCATTAAATGCAAAGAACATCAACTCATCCAGTAAAAAATTTGTTCACGTGTAACTTTGCTTTGGTTTTATGCAAAAAGTCGTACCCACTTTCAGTTTTATCGATTTTTCTGCTAAATCCGGAGCGTGGAGTGTATTGGAGATTGAAACGTTGATCTTGACAGATCTTGGTAAATTTTCAGCATGTGTGTACAATTTCACCGAAATCGATCGAGAAATGGCGACGTGTATATATATCACACCCACACTCGCAGACGGACATCTATTTTAAAGATATAGATATATATATTATATATATAAAGATTCTTTCTTTTTTTGTGCTGTGTCCCTTCGGGGCGTAGACGATCATGGCTCTCCACTTCCCTGTTACAGTTTTTTGTGTACATGTATATGTATATATGACTAGTATTTATAGTCTACCAATGTAGTACAATATGTATATGTATATATGACTAGTACTTTATAGTCTACCAATAGAAGGTTAACCAATCAGAAGCCGCAGAACATTCTATCCGTCGTGTATAAAGGCGGCCATTTTGTTTATCCTACCCGAATGACCAGTGCCAACTTGTCAGGCGAAGATGACAAAAAGAAGTACTACGCTCTGCTACTTTGCTGCGATATCCACTGCTAACCTGAACTACGCTTTCCTACTGTCTTCGAAATATTCACTGCTAACCTCTGGATTCTATACTCGAAGACGACCGTCATAAAATGTCTAACATTCCCCCTATCCCTTGTAACTCTCAATAAGTTCCTTCCCTCTGTTACCACCCTCAGATGACTTTCTGTCATCCACTCTTTTATGTAATGGTTTGCTTTACTCTGTCTCTCTTTCCCTCTATTTGACCTGTGAGTATCAGATTCTCCAGGCCCTCCTTTCTCATTACGTGTCCCAGAAATTTCAGCTGCCTCTTCCTGATATTAAGTATAAGCTTCCTTCTTGTTTGCATCCTCTCCAAAACGTCATCGTTGCTCACACGCTCGATCCATGATATCCTTAACATCTTTCTGTAGAAAATTCGAACACAGTCGACATATGTTTGATGATTTCAGGGAAAATGCTGTATTGATTTTCTATAAGTTTTTATTTTAATTTCTAAATACATTTATTGTTGTATTGTCGTAGGCCTCCGTCGGTCAGGGTTGACCATGGGTAAGCATCCCAGTTGTCTGCTTGGCTGGAGTATCGACGTCTGTGACTGTAGAGGCCGATGCGGGAGTGAAAATCTGTTACAAAGGTCGCACGTGTGTTCTGTCCTTGGTCTGTTGGAGCTATCACTTTGCTTTCTACGGGTCTGCCTCTTCGTGGTGACTTGTGTCAGCTTCTCCCCCTGACTTGAGGTTTTTGGTCAGGGTTCCTCTCTACTTGGATCGTATAGCTGTCAGGCTCTCCCAGAATTCTTTGTTGATGTCCACAGCTTTCATGTCCCGCCTCACGACATCGAAGTACCGCAGCTGTGGCCGCTCGGCGGGTCTTCTTCTAGAAGCCAGCTCTCCTTACAGGATGTCTTTGGGGATGCGGCCGTCTTGCATACGGTGGACGTGGCCCAACCAATGGAGTCTGCGCTGTCTGAGCAGTATGAACATGCTGGGCAAACCTGCTAGAGAGAGGACCTCAGTGTTGGGCACCTTGTTCTGCCACGCTATTCCCAGGTTGCGGTGGATGCTTCTCATGTAAAAGGTGTGAAAACGCCTTTCTTGCCTGGCATACATGGTCCAAACCTCGCTGCCATGTAGCAGTGTGCTGATGACGTAGGCGTTGTACACTACCATCTTGGTCTTCATTATCAGCTTGGGATTGGTCCACTGTATTGGATTATTGATCAGTCGTCAACTTCTCCAGTGCTTGTGGGGTATACCACTGGACATTTTCATTATATCTTCACAACCTGCCGAAGCTTGAAAGAGGTTAGTTACTTCATTATCTCCCCCCTCCTTGTCTGCTTGTCTCTCAATCTGTTAGCCCTAACCTGGGCTGCAAAATACCTATTCCAAGTCTCAACAAATTCTGCTTCATCCAAGCGACTTAAACATCGTATTGGTGACGCCATATTGACTTTTAGAAAAATTATGCCAAATCGATTACAGCCACCTCATTTTTTTTTCAGGGTATCGAATAGACACAAAAACATTTTATAAAATAATTATTATTTTTAATTTTTGATTCGTCTTTCCTTTCTCATGATTGTCTTGTATAACTCGATGGTTGGTTGATTTTATTTAGCGGTACATCAACCACTATGGGTTATTTCCGAACTCTAAATATTTTGAACACAATCTTATGGCTTCATCCACAGATATATAGGTACTGTTGCTAATTCTGCTATAAGTAGGTATTGTTGCTAATTCTGCTATAAGTAGGTATTGTTGATAATTTTGAGATATATAAATATGTTGCTTGTATTTTTACAATAAAAATGTATTTTTATTTCATAATCTTTTGTTTTTGTTTGTAAGTTCACTATTTGCCCATAACTGGGACCCTAACAGGTGCTACCACCCAGAGAACAACAGCAATTAAGGTTTGGTCGCACTCTCCTCAAAACCTCCAATCTCTCGATCAAAGGCCTTGCTGTCGGATGTAACTAGAATTAGATGCAATAATATTTGAATTACTGACAGGAAGGAAGCATTGTCAGTTTCTATTAATTTTGACGAGTACTTCTTTTATCTTATTTATCTTGCTTTTTATTACACTCGTTATATTAGACATAATATTATTTGAATTTCTTACATGAAGCATTGTCAATTATTATTCATTTTTAATAGTATTTCTTACATCCTAATTTAAAATATACCCGACAAATTTATGCATAAAAATTTTTCAAAACAGAATAAGAAATCTTGTCAAATTATTTACGCAAATTGCTTTCACCATTTTTTTCACCCAGCAATGTACTAATGAGGTTTCATTTCCAGCCTTTTTAGGCTTCAATTTCCCGCGCTTCAAGACGAGTCGATTTAGCAAAGAGTATCATTCGTTTTCTATAAAGTTAAAATATTAGGTCGTTAGCAAAAGGAATAGCCCAAGTTTCGGGCTACAAAATGGAGACGCCAGAATAGAGAAAGTTCATAAATGGTTTGTTTTATTTTACGGCATATCAACCTCTATGAGTTATTTAATGCCGACAAGATTGTTATTGCAGGTAATTTTTTTTTTTCCAAACTGTATTGTTGGTAATATTTTTTTCAAAAATGTACTGCTGGTAATAATTATTCCAAAAAGTATTGCTGGTATTAAAACCTATTTTTATACTTTCATAGTGTTTTGACGCCTTTTGGGAGTTTAACTATTTGCCCATACCTGGGACCCTGACAAGTGTTACCACCACTTGTTCTTTTATTGTTCTCGCTTCTTAATAACGTTTTTTTTTTCTTTTATTATATTATTTCACAGTTAGCTTCAATCAAAAAAGAGTGGAAAAAATGTTTAATTGTTATCAATCATTCTCTTTCGTGTTATCATGGTTCGTTCTTTGTTTTGTTTTTAATCGGTATCACCCCGTGCAAGGCAATAAAGCCACTAAGCCACAAGGGATTACAGGGTGCGGAGCAATTAGAAACAGAAACATTAATAATGATCGGGAAGAGGAAGATGTATTGGGATGGCCAAAGATGCCTTCCAAAAGCTAAGCAGAGTATTAAGAGACAGGAAAATTTCGTTAGAAACAAAGAAAAGAGGATTGGACTGTTACGTGATATGCAATGTAAATATCTGGGAAGTATTCTAACAGAGAACGGAAAGTGCGACACTGAGATCCGAAGACGTATTGTGATGGCCAAAGATGTATTCCAAAAGCTAAACAGAGAATTAAGAGACAGGAAAATTTAGTTATAAACAAAGAAAAGAGGACTGAAGTTTTATGTGATAGCTTTTCTCTTGTATGACAGTGAATGAACAAGATGAAGAACTGAATTAAATCAGTAGAGATCTGGTTCTACAGACAGATGGTGAGAATACCATGAGCCGAACATATAAGCAACGATGAAATTTTGGAGAGAATGGAAACAAAAAGAAAACTTATATTTAACATCAGGAAGAGGCAGTTGAAATTTCTAGGGCACATAACGAGGAAACAGGGCTTGGAAAATCTGATACTCACAGGACAAATAGAGGGAAAGAGGGGCAGAGGAAAGCAGCGTGTAACATATTTGATGAGCTTGAGCAAGTGGATGGCGTAATAGGGTCTAGAAGAAATAACAAAAAGATAAAACTTATTAAGAGCTACAAGAAACAGGAAGATGTGGAGAGCCATGATCATGTACGTATTGAAGGATAAAAAGAAGATATGCTGAAATCACCAAGAGTACCAATGCATACTGAAACAACAATATTTCTTATATGCAGTCTTCAGTTGATTCTCTATGGCTCAGATTGTGTGACATAAAAATTTTCAGCTTAAATTGACATATTCTCAAACATGAAAATTTCTCAGAGTTAACCTTTAGAAAAGACAATATTTATAAATATAAAAGACAATAGGAAAACTGTAGTTATTGCTGACGCATTTCGTCCAATGTGGAGTTTCTCAAAGCAAAAAACGAAATGAATTTAATTAAACAAAGTAACTAATAATAACAAAAAACAGAATGTTCTTAGCAACTGGAAGAATGTATAGAACGCTGTTTTCATATTGTTAACTGAAAATAACGTCAGTTACTGTCACGTGTGGAGAATATTGTCATTATAGCTGTGTTGACGGATTCAACCATTTTCTTTTGATTTTACAATATTGTTGTGTACGTTTGTTTGGGAGAGCAGTAATTTTGTTAAGAAAGGTGAAAAGTTTTGATTTTAAAAATGCTACATTCATAAAAAAAAGAAAATAAGTCACTCAGAAGGAAAATGCTAGAGAGTGCCATCATAGAATATTACCCAAATATTAATCTACGCCCAGGCTTTTTCCCTATTTCACCTTTCTTATTATTTAGTTTATTCAATCACTTTAAGCCCTCTGTCGGTGAAGCCTAAAGTAGATCGGCTCCATCCATTGCTGAGGGCTAAGATCCCCTAAAAAGATTCACGTCCTGCGTGGATACGCTCAGAATCGATTTTAAACCCAAATCATATTTACCTTTTTTTTCCTCTACTGTAAAACCAGACCCATGTCCAGCTTTTGATTCTAAACCTTTGTCGATTTTTTCATCCTTTTTGGACTTGATTGTGAACTGGACCTATGTCTAAACTTTGACACAAGTTTAAACCGGACATGTCTCCACTCGTGTAAACTGAACCAATGCCAACCTTTTCACTCTTGTGTAAACAGAAACTATATCTACGTTTTTACTCTAGTATCAATTGCAAATTTATCAATCTTTCCGACTCTGATCTAAAACTTGTCCGATGGCTAACTTTTGACTTGAATTTAAACTAGACTCACATCTACATTTCGACTCAAGTGTAAACTGGGCCAATGTTTAAATTTTGATTCGTCTGTAAACTTGGGCCTATGTGTATCTTTTAAGTGTAGCATAAAGGAAACCCATGACAATATTTTTGTAAAACTGGACATACGTCTTCCTTTTGACTCAAGCGTAAAGTGGACCCATTACTTTTTACATATGGGTAATATGGACCCATGTCTACCTTTTGATTCAAGTTAAATTGGACCTATATCTAACTTTTGAATCCACAGTAAAAGTGGACATATACCTACGTTTTGATTTCGCCAATATATGTTTTGCCTCGTGTAAAATTGACTTATACCAAGCTTAATGCTTATACTGTGAAAATAGGGATATGTCTACCGCTTGGTTTAAGAGAAAACTGGACGAATAACTACATTTTGATATTACTGCAAAATGGAGCTATGTAAACTATTTTGTGCCATCTGGACCCATGTCTACCTTTTTCTCGGGTGTAAACTGAACCTATGCCGACCTTTTGATTTAGGGCAAAGTGGATCTAATGTCACCCTTTTGACTCAACTCTAATCTTTCTTGCTATCTACATTTTCACCCTCGAATAATATGAATCAATGTCTCCCTTTTGACTCTAGTGTAAAATCAACCCATGTCTTCGTTTTGATTCTATTT